TTTTTTAAAACTATTAAACTATCTCAGGCTTTTTCTGCTCTGCTATACAAAGATGATGATGATGTCATTCTGTCCCTAGTTTTGATAGGAATGAGATATCCTTTTCATTTGACTCCTTTTGCAAGAACAAACAATTATTAGTAAATGATAAAACATGGTATTGGAAAGTGGCAGAGGAATTAGGAATGACAAATTGAGAGGACCAATGTCACACATATGAACCAATTTGAAAACTACCTGGTCATTTCATTTCTGATCACGATAACTTATGGTAAACATTTAACGAAATAGATAATAGATGGTTTTATATGCATAATGGCAATTCAATTCTAACTGCATATGACTTCCAGGGAAGCAAAGGTGGACTGAAGACAGTAGAGGTAACAATTGTGTTGAAAAGAGGAGCCTCTGAATGGATTTGTTGGAGTCATTGGGTTATCTGGCCTGTTAGGCTGAGTCACCAGCTGCAGTAGGCCAAGGTATGCGGAAGTCAGAAGAGAAAATAGATTGGCGTAAACAAGTTTGTGCCGTGCGGTGCAAGGGAATGTTGTTTTGGTGTTTGTTAGTGCCGTGTGCAACAGCTGTATAGTAGCGTGTGCAAAACAAAGTTAGCACGTGTAATATGCTAATATGCTGTGTCATAACAAATGTGGTTGGTGTAAGGTGGTCACCAGGTGCCTATAAACCCGCCTTCTGATAACACAATAAAAGGGATGCTTCGTCTTTGTTCGAGGCTCCCATCCCGAGGAAACCACGTGTACGTGTCTGTTCTTCAACACCCATGGGAGACCGCTGGGCGCGTGAAAACCCGCAAATGGTGACCCCGACGTGATTCAAGTTTCTGAGCACGTCTCTGGGTACTGCAACTCAGGGCCGGTCGTCAGCTAGACGAAGCACCCTCCCAAAACTGCAACTCAGGGCCAGTCGTCAGCTAGACGCACCCTCCCAAAACTGCAACTCAGGGCCGGTCGTCAGGATAGACGAAGCACCCTCCCAAAATATTACATCTCTTGGTATCTTCAACACCCATGGGAGACCGCTGGGCGCGAGAAAACCCGCAAATGGACGAAGCACCCTCCCAAAACATTACCGTGAGTATGGGGACAACATTCTCTAAGCCTCAGGTTGCGCACCTCCCAGAACTTAGGGAATTGACCAAGTCATCAATAATTAAATTAGGAAAAACAATGGGAAAGATTTGCTGCTAATCCTCCTCTTAAAACATGTATATCAAAATTGCCTTGCATATCCCGAAGGAGGATCCCTAAAAATGTTTGTGTGGGTTAAATTAGGAAAACTGTGACTGTTAACTGTTTCAAATCCAAAGGAAAAAGGATTTTAAAGTCTGCTAGAAATTCTGCTTAAAATAAGCCACAAAAAGGAAGAACCTCACTCTGTCTGGCCAACAAACAGAGTGAAGAAAAAGAATTGTGTTTGTTTGTTTGTATTCCTCCTTCTCTCTGTGTGTCTATCTATCTACAAGAGCCTTTCGAAACTCAAGTCTGCTTGTGTGGGGAAATAACTTTTTAAAGTTACTTTTCGTATCCTATCACTTATTGGTGATGCTACTATGAAACTTTTCTGCAACAAATAAGCATTTTCTAATCTCTAAAATGATGTGGTCTATTTTAGAATAAATGTTCTCCTACCCTTGGCAAGTTGCACACCTTAAAATATTAGGCTTTTAAAATTATTTGGAGTTTTCAGCATTTTCAAACTGCCTGCAAACTACCCCCCTTCCAATTCTTTTCCTGCTCTTTGTTCTCCAAACCTTTTGTCTGCCTCTCCTGGTAGAGTCTGTCCAGAAAGGGGGGGGGAGACCTTGTTCTTGTATCTTTCAGCCCTGAAACCCTCTCCCAAGCCTTTGGAAGCACAACACACAGACCCAGATGCTGCCTCCATCCATTTGAGCCATGGGATTGAGTTTGAATCCAGCCATCCACTAAAAAGCCACCATGCATCTTCCCAAGTCCTACCATTTCCCCAGCTGCCTGTGAGAGCTGCAGAAGGAAGGTGGTGCCACGTGAAGCCTCAGAAGAGAAAACTAAGACTGTGGGGGGAGGGTGGAAACTCATTGTAAACTTTTCTTTCTTGCCCCATTTGTATTGTAACAAGCCAGTTGAATGTATTAATGGAGAGATGGGAATATGTGGCAGAACAAATACTGAACACCTTGGACTTCTATCTGGTGGGAGGGAAAATTGATCCAGAATGTTTGTATTGACTATTTTGTAAAAGTAGCTGCACATACATGCACACACACACACCATTCACACCATTCAGAGTCTATCCCCTCCACCTACCTTTAGTAAAGTTCCCCCCAGGCTGATTTTTGCTCTATTGCACCAAAGCTTTGTGGGACCAACTTCCAACAGATTCCAAGGGGGAGGGAACTAGGCCCCCTCAGGTGATTTGCAATTCATATGCCCTGACTAAGGAAGCAACAGGGAAAATCCCAAACTTCAGCCCTGAATATTTTGCACTGTTGAGCTCAGATTTGAATTCCTAGAACTCATTATGTGCAATTTAAAGAAAATTTAATAGACTGGCATATTAGACATTACAAACCTGGATGCACTGAATTAAGAGCTAAGGCAGGAAACAACCCTTGAAATTGGGCAGCCAGTGGTCATGTACTAAGGAAAACCATGGCTGTGAAGAATTTTGGGAGGTATGCAAACCTGACTGGAAGCTAAAGGTGACATCCAACATTTGAAAATGATTGGCACAGAATATTGGATACTATAAATTTCTTTTCCACCTAACAAATTTGGGAGCCACTAAAGGGATCTTTTTCTGCTGCCTCCATTAATGTCTTCTTTTTCTTTTTTTGCTTAACAGTTTAAAAGCTTGCCTACCAAGTCTCCCTGACCAGATCAATTTTAATGTCATATATTTACACACTTAAGGCACAAAGTGGGGATATTGATGGAAGTTAGCCCCCCCAGAAGGAAATATTAAAAAGGGCAGAAAAATATATTTTTCCTCAAAAGGACTTTTTAAAAACCAAACCTGGCCCCAAATCTATCTGCCCCAAACAAGAGCTAGGCCCATACAGATGCAAATGTAACACCATCAGAAAGTTGGAGCCAGAGCAATCAAGAAGACAAAAGAGAAGATCTGCATACCCCACCCAAACTCTAGGAGTCAGCCCCATCGCCTGGGAAGCAGGATATGATAATGCAATTTCCTGAAGAACCATCTTTCTGCAATAAACTGTAATCCTCAGGAACTGTCACCCACCAACAGGTCAATTTAGTAACTACACCTATCACTGCAGTTCAGTTACCCTTGCTAACCAAACCGGCCTTCACTTTGCCAAGCGACACTGAGGATGACTTCCTATAAAGCGCAACCTCCTTATTTTTTAAATAAAACAGAAAAGTAGGAGATGTTGGAGTCATTGGGTTATCTGGCCTGTTAGGCTGAGTCACCAGCTGCAGTAGGCCAAGGTATGCGGAAGTCAGAAGAGAAAATAGATTGGCGTAAACAAGTTTGTGCCGTGCGGTGCAAGGGAATGTTGTTTTGGTGTTTGTTAGTGCCGTGTGCAACAGCTGTATAGTAGCGTGTGCAAAACAAAGTTAGCACGTGTAATATGCTAATATGCTGTGTCATAACAAATGTGGTTGGTGTAAGGTGGTCACCAGGTGCCTATAAACCCGCCTTCTGATAACACAATAAAAGGGATGCTTCGTCTTTGTTCGAGGCTCCCATCCCGAGGAAACCACGTGTACGTGTCTGTTCTTCAACACCCATGGGAGACCGCTGGGCGCGTGAAAACCCGCAGGATTGGCTCCTCAGAATTTCTTTCCAAGTCAAAGAAATAACTAGGATCACTCACAGGTTTGCTCTGATCAGACTCTCACTGCAAAGATATCATAAAAGAGTAATCTCCTGTGTGTATAAGAACTCTGGTGGAGCAGGTGGGGGGCTTCCTATATAAGCTGTAACTCCACACCTTTAAAGGGACACACTGGATTCTATTTCTTCTCTTAACTATTTTAGAAAGTTGCTTTTTAATGAATCTCTAGATGTTAAGAATCTTTGAAAAATAACTGTATTACACAAGGAGACTTTCCTGCATAAAAGAAACTCTAAATAAATTTAAGAATTAATAAGACTTTCTAGTGGGTATTCAGTGTCTGACTCCAATCATCTAGAATATATATGTGAATTTTGACTTTTGACCTTTTACATGTTTATTGTTATTATTGTTTCTCATGTTGTGAGCAGTGAAGAATCTGTTTGGGATTGTGACAGTATATAAATTATGATATACACACATGCCCGCATCATATATGTGATACATACAAAATTAATTAGGGATGTTGATACTAGGGCTCCTATGAAAGAACTATATACTTGATAGAGATTTTGCCATAGTACTTTAGTGCATGCCATCTTGTAGAACTCTTGTGCAATGAGCCTTCTTTGAGGTAGCATCCATATTTTGAACCTTTCTGACATTTTTTGAATATTAACCTTGATTTGCCTATTTAAAACTTTCTTCTTGACATAGGTCTTTTCTATATTAGTTGAATGACTGGTTGTGAAAGAGGGAGAAGTGATATAAGATCATGTTTGCTTAATTTCGCAAACGTTGACAAAACATCTTACTCTCATTATTGTGAGAACATACTTATGTAATCACCCTCTATTTCATGCATTGCTTTTGTTGCAAGCGGGTTATGATATCTCCCTGTTCAATTTCTTAATATTTTTTTTCAGAAACAAAACTTGTGCTTGTTTTCATATTTTCCATTCATCTTCAATAATTGAATAAACAGAAAAAAAGACAGACATGGTCTGAAAAAAGAGGCCATGCCTGTAAAAAGTGAATTTTGGATTAGAAAAGAAAGGCCATCCATAACATATTTGAAATTTATTTTAACTTAAATAATGCTGATTCTTTTTGCAGTCTAACTTTACTGTGGTTTGTTTGCTACTTTTTGCTGCTTTTTTAAGTATATACCACAAACAGCAAATCCATTTTATCTTACCTGTGGGTGTGCTACTACGAAATGAGGAGGAAGGGGTGATCGGAGGTGTGACAGGTGGAGTAAGGCTTCCACTGCTGTGACGTGGAGGAGTAGATACATTCCCACGGGACACTGAGCTTGATAAGGTCAAGGAGAGTTTAGGTTGGATTTTCTTCTTCAGAGATTCCTGTTCCCTACGAGCAGCATCAGTCATAAACCTATAAAAGTAGTGATACCAATATTACGGGGAAAAAACACTATGAACTGGCAACTGTAAACATTTGGTGCAAGTACATGGGAATACTCCTTATGCTATTCATTTCTTACCTCCCCTTGTTCCTGGTAAAACAAATATTGTCAAATGATGGACAGAAGGGAATAATTTTTTTTAGTAGTGCAAGATCTGGGGTTTTTTTTTTATTAATTTAGCGTTGATCCATTGATTGTGATAGGAATTAACTGACCAGCTTATTGCCTAAGCCTGACATTGTTGGCTGAAAGTGAGTGTTTGGGGCTAGTCACTTTCTCTTAGCTCACCTCAAAGGGTTATTTGTTGTGGAAAAAATAGGAGAAAGGAGTATTAGGTATGTTTACCACATTGAGTTATTTATAAAAAATAATGAAGATGGATAAAAAGTTGTTGTCAATACTTAATTTTATTGATTAAATTGACACACAGAAAGCTCCTCTCTGAGGGAGATGGATGATTAAGAAGTATGAAATATAAATAAATAAAAAATGTTTAAAGATTTTTAAGATTAGAACTCAAAATTTCCTGATTTCTAATGTAATGCTTTAACCACCAGGTAAACTGGCTTACCTACAGGAAGACATAATACTATGTCAAAATCTGTCTTCTAAAATTTTATTTTCTTTCAAAAAAGATTTCTCTTTTATACTCCATTCTTGGATAATTTCTTTAGAATGTGTTCAAAGGATAATTTTGCAATGAGCATATTTTAGGCTGCCAAGGTATGCATTTTTAAAAATTTTGAATCACTATAGAGCAGTGGCCTTCAACCTTTTGGACACCAGGGACTGGTTCCATGGAGAGAGGTTTTTCCATGGACCAGAGAAGGTATGATTTAGTGTGCTGCCTGCATCCCACAGATGGGTCTTCGCTTGTTTGCATGGACTGGTTTCTGGCATGCTGTGGACCAGTGCCGGTCCACAGACAGGGGATTGGAGACCTCTGCTCTAGAGGTCTTCTTGCTTGCATATGCTTCCTGGTCAATAAAAATACCCATGTGCATTACTGTGTTGATTTCCCTTGAAATTGAATTGAAATGTGGGAAGTCAGGAGGACTACTGAAGAAAGATAGAACACATACCCCACCAATATAGGCACATCATACTTAATTACATCACTGCACTTTCTCCTACAAATAAAGAGAAGATCAAGCCAGACATTCACAGTAAGAGGCATTATATGTTGGTGTATTTACCATATTAGTAATGTATTATATTCCGTGATTTACTGAAACTTCAAATTGCCTTTTACGAATTTGTTGGGTTAAGGCAGGGGTGTCAAACTCAATTTCATTAAGGGCCACATCAGATTGCGGTTGCCCTCGGGGGGTATGGACAGGGTGGGTGTGGCTTACTGGATGGGCATGGATGGGGTGAGTGTGGCCTACTTGGTGGGCATGACCAGCTTTACATTGTTCACGTCAAGGGTGCCTGTGGGGGCCTGGGCAGGAGTGGGACAGATCTGAGGGACTCTGGAGAAGGAGGTGGGACCAGGGTAAGTGCCAAGCCATGGTCCATTTCTTCATTCCTCACAAAGGGTGACACCTCTCCAGCATGCATCCAGGGGCCAGGGCTGATACAGCAGGAGCTGGTTCCTCGCTGTTTCTAGATGGCTTTGTGGAGCTAAGACTGAATGCGTTTCAGCATAGATGGCCATTTATTTATTTATTTATGAGACTTATATACTGCTTTAAGTGCAAGCACTCTCTAAGCGGTATACACCAGTAAGCAATGTATATATATATTTACATTGCTCCCAACAATCTGGGTCCTCATTTTACCTACCCCGGAAGGATGGAAGGCTGAGTCAACCTTGAGCCGGTGAGATTTGAACCGCTGACCTGCTGAACACAGTCAGCTAAAGTGGCCTGCAGTACTGCACTCTAACTGCTGCGCCACCTCGACTCACAAGATTGTACACTGGCTCCTGGCCCGCCTGGGCCAGGGCCAAGGCAGCAGGGGCCATTCCCTTGCTGTTTCTAGGATGGCTTCGCGGGCCACATGAAACCACTTAGTGGGCTGCATCCGGCCCCCAGGCTTTGTGTTTCACATGTCTGGGTTAAGGGTTCCTTTGCTTTTTAGTTCACATAAAAATTTCAAACTATATTTGGCAAAACTTGTCCTGCCCTGGGATGCTGTAGGCAATTGAAACCAGTTCAAGCTGCAGTTGCCCTCACTACACTGTATTGACTCTGCAATCTGCTGCTCCAGATGACCTTTGCCCTCGCCTTGCTCCCACTATGGATGAGGTATGTCTAGCCTTACTTGCTGGGCCAGGCTAGGCTTCAGTTGCAAAATCTCCTCCACCAAGAGCAGCCCCAGAGCTATAGTGCGCCAACATGATACTTTGCAAAGACTCCTGGGTGGCCCTGGGCTTCACATTCCCCCCTCAAAAGCTGACCAAAAGCAACCCTTTGCAAAAAGCTCCTGGGCAGGCCACCATGCACAAATATTTTAGAAATGGGTGTTTGGTGCACTACAGCTCTGTTTTTTTTGTTTTGTTTTTCAGTTGCTTTTTTGTAGCTGCTGTTTTTTTGCTCAGCAGCAGCAGGAGCAAGAAAAAGTGAAAGTCAGCTGGGGGAGTAGAGTACAGGGCAACAGGGGTCCAAAGTCATAGCTGGGAGGGAAGATAGGTGGGAGGAGTTGAAGCATCCCTGTGGTTGTAAGTGTGGATGTAAGTGTCCAAGTATTGATCATGTGACTGTGGAAAAACGCAGTGGCTATAACCTCAGGCACAGATCTCTTAGTTCAGTGCCTTTGCAGCTTTTAACATGCTGAATGAATGGTATTATAAGTCAAGGACTACCAGTTTAGATAATGTAGTTGTTAAATCATTCCTTAAGATAAAACCTATTTGGTTGCCAGGAGAATTATAGGCTCTCTTCCTAATAAAAAGCAAGTCATTTTGAGATCTCTGCTTTACTACTAAATTTCTCTTTTTTAATTTAAGCAAACTAGAACAATATTTTCAAACATGTCCTTTTCCAGAGATAACTACCATTTGTTTAGTTTTAGCAGTTAATTACCAGACTTGACATAAATTCCTGATAAATGTCAATTTCATATGGTTTACCGCATAGACCCAAATAAATGTCTTATGTTCTGTAATAGGAAAGCGTGCCCTTGCTAATTTTTCAAAAGCTTAATAAAGGCATAAAACCCACTGAGTACAATTTAATATCCCAATTATCATCTCAGAATTCACTTTCAAAGCTAACAGCTGGATTGTTAAAGCATTCATCAGCTTTGTTTTTGCTTTGGATCATTAATTAGCAAACCAGTGATCACTTGCTACTAACAATATATAGCTTATGGGTTACTGCTAAATTATAGGAAATAGTTTTATGGGATCATTTCATAATCCATTTTAAAATGGTTCAGATACCTTATTACACTATATAGCAATAAAAGAAAAATCTTCAAAATGTATAGTCCAGGTGACTAGGTTGCAGGGTATAATATTTCTTCAACAAAATACAATTATATCTGAAACATATTTTAAACATATCATTAATTGTTTAATTTAGATCAGACTACATAGCTCTTTTTAAGTGACATGATATCTAGGATTCAATCAGTGCATCACTAAAAACAAATACTGTAATTCTTACTCTTTTATTTTAGTTATGAGAAACCACCAAATTTTAGTCGATCTTTACATCATCTAGTAGATGATCAGATTTCTTCATAATTCATGTAAAAACAAGACCAGTTGGGGCAACTCTTAAGATCTTGTTTAGCAACAGAAATTTTGGCCTCAGTTGTAGTTATAAGTTGAAAACTACCTAATTTTAACAGAACAAAAAACACAATTGGAAGGGACCTTGGAGATCTTCTAGTCCAACCCCCTGCTCAGATAGGAAACCCTATACCATCTGAAAAAAAACTAGTGGATTACACAGTTCAAGGAGTGAGAAATGAAAAATGAATTGATTGTTTGAATTTTGATGTGGTAATACACCACATAATCTTCAGTAGAGACAAAATGAATAAATATATCTCACAAAGCATAAGAACAATCTACTGCAAAGTGATCTTCCACACATCTGAAAATTTTGTTCATTACATCCGATATGGCCAGGGATTAAGGGTTAGATTGGGTTAGAGAACAGTATGTCATCTTAAAAACTAAAGACTACTGTCCTACAATCTTTGGTTTTTGAAATTAATACAATATATTAAACCATACCTGTTGATATTTACTTAGATGTTTGTTGAAAATGTATAGTATTATGAGATGAAATTATTACATGATGAAAGTTCATGCAGTTATTATTGTATCTTTTTTCAGACAAGTCATTCAAAGATTCAAGGCAGCATACACAATACTTCTCCTTATTTTTATCCACAACAGATTGTGAGATGGATTGGGCTGAGAAAGAGGGATTTCCATTGACTTTCCATTGTTGAGAATGGACCAGAATTTGTGTTTCTGTGTCCCCAGTGCAACAACTGAATTATAGTTATATGTAAAAATGCATATACATAAATACCTATTTAACAGTAACATTTGAACAATGAATTGAAAAGGAAATAATGACAGATTTTCATACACTGACCCAGTGGGTTTCTGAAAATGTAGAACAATAAAAATAAGAAATAACATCAACTGCAAATGTTAAAACAATTTTATAAAGAGATCTGTTGATTCCCTTGAAGGGGTAAATTCTTCTCTTTTCTACTTCCTCTTCAGTCACTCAAGGCTGAGTGCAGAGAGAGTTCAGGAAAGACTGCAGATAGGAAAGCACATCCCTTCTGAATCAGAATGCTCTTTCTCTTGAATAGAGAAGAAAACTGTTTTTTCCCCCTCAATTTGTTGTATCAGCACTGTTGCAAAAAATAAAAATAAAAATTAATAATTCATTACTAGTAAATCAAACAAATTATAACTGCAAAAACAAATCAGGAGAAGAAATTCAACATACCATTTGCTAAAAGCTTAAAACAATCACAATACCTAAAAATGATA